CCTTACACGATTCAAAGCTCAGGAGGAGAAATGAAGCAATAGTTCCCTCTAATGGAGAAATGAAGTGTTGGTTTCTCAAAAACCAACCAAGCCAAGCCATCACAACCATACCCAATTTTGCAGTATTTCAATTTTAGTTATACCATCATCGAGCCAAAAATGAGTCAGATTGTGTCTGCAGTGCTGTTGAAATCTTGGGAAGTCAGAAATTCAGAACTGATTTCAAACTGTTACAAAATCCTTGTATGAAAGTGCAAGGGAGAGAGAGTGGGGGTGGGGAGAGAGAACACACATAGAAGCAAAATATGAGAAGATTAAGACTAAAGAGCAACTTACAGAGTTCACAAGAGCAGGGGCAATAGTGCTGTTGATGTGATCCACTGCCTGCAGAACCCCTACAGACAGGGGAAAGATGCAGAGACACACAGAGGGAGTAAAAAATAAATACAGAGAGATTGTGAGTCAGCTTTTCTGAGTCATTTCGGTTTGCAGAAATTTTACACCATAACATCTGCTGTTGTTGCTAGTTCAAAAGCAGGTGGCAGTCTATGTGTACACACAGACACACAAGTAGGCATAAACAATCAGTGTTCTCTAGAATTGTTCCATATTGTTTGGTAATTCCAGTTTTAATGCCCCTACCTTTGCCAAGGAATCGGGATTTATCATTGTCACGCAGTTCCAAAGCTTCATAGATGCCAGTGGAGGCACCGCTTGGTACAGCTGCCCTGAACATTCCTGAGAAGAAATCAGAACACGGGAATCTTTCATAGAAATAATAGCTTAGATCAGGGGTGTCAAAACTTGGCAACTTTAAGAGTTCTGGGAGAATTCTGGGAGTTGAAGTCCACAAGTTTTAAAGTTGCCAAGGTTGGATACCCCTAGTTTAGACCACCAAAGCAGTGAACTATCTCTTCTGGTTACACAGTTCCTTCATTTAAAAAAAAACAACTTTAAGTATATCGTAATTTCTTAAAGACATGGTGAAAACCATGTAGGCAGTATGATTTCCCAGTTATTCCATAAGAAATAGCTGTACTTCAATTTTCCAAAGTTATGGCCATAGCTACAACTATATTACAAATGTAATTACTATACATTACATTAATACAATAGTAATGTAATTAATGCAATTATAGTTATTTAAACGATATAATTCAACATCCATCAAGATATCAGTCTTTCTTTAAAAAGATTTGAGAATACCTTTCATAACATTCAGGCTCACTGAACTAATATTCTGGCCTAAACTCTGTCCCAGCCAACATTTGCAAAGAATGTCTGTAACAATGTCTCTATTTTTAAAGATATGCTAAATTTTTTGCTTCTGCAATGATCGGTACCTATCTCATATAAAGGTTCTTAATCATTTCTTTAATAATTAATTCAGAAAACTAATATGCCATTTTAAGCATCCCTATAAGTATTTAAGGTTCAGTGTGACCTGGCTAGTAGATGCCTCAGAGATATTTCTGAGAAGACGCAACTGAAAACAGTTCTTCCTCCCTGTGTGTCTAAGTCTTTTGGAGTCTTTGGAAATGGAATCTTATAAATTATCCAGCCAACAAATAGGCTTTAGTCAATGGCCAAGCTTTTAATCATTTTTCTTTCCTTTAAAGTTTATTCCTACTTACAGACTTGGCCTTCACTTATTTTTTCTTATTTACTAAGTTTTTATAGCTCCCAATCTTCTACAGCATTTCTGTTCTTATGCAGAGCTTTCACTTGTTTGAAGAGCATTTTTCTTTTTCTGCTTTCTGTTTTTATATCATTAACTTTTATTTATCATAGTTGGGAGGTGGCTGAAAAAATGTATGTGCTTGCTTGGCTATTTAGTGCCAAACCTGAAGCTGACCTGGCCGAAGCCATCTAGGAGCTTCAGTGCTGCCACACTGGAACAAGGGATAGGGATTAGAGATAGCTGGGGTTATGTAGTCAAAAATAAAATGCTTTCTCTTGGGAACCACGGATGTTCTCAAACCTGGCAGAAGGAAGGAGTGATGTCACCAGACCAGCGGACGCTACTTTGATTGGGCCATGTGACTGATTGTTTGGGGTTGAGGGAAAAACTTTCATTTTTAATTAGGTGAAAACCAAGGGGTCCTTCAGTTGGTTTTTACCAGATACGTGCCAATATGATATTTCCAATAAAGCTATTTATCCATCTGCCTTGGAATTTTTGCTTGCGATGTATCTATTACTTGGAACCCTGACATTTACTCTCTGGCATACAGTATTTTGCTTCCTTTTCCCTGATTTTGGTATTCTATTTCTCCAGTTTTTTTCAAAACATAGACTACGCTTTTTAAAGCATAATTATGGTTTTTGTCACTACTGTTATTGTCTTTTTTCCCCTTCGTTTGCTTTAATTTCTATTAATCCAAGGTCTCTTTTATAGAAGACTTTGGTACAGTTCCAGATTCTGGTTCTAGAATGCATATAATTTGAATATAATTACAGAATATAAGTTAGCATGTTGATTTTCTTCCCAGTTGATTGCAAATTGATTCTAAGTGTAACATTTCTAATTTGTGATTTAAGACCCTGGAGTTCAATGAAATTTGGGATCAGGATGGTATTCTGTTAACAGGAACCCTTGCAATCTGCATGTTCTGTCTTGGGGCTCTTTTTCCTTGCTTTGAAGCTCCAAAACACCATAGGTAAAAGGATCACCTTTTAGTCCTGGTTTCTTTCAGGTTTTATTTTATACCTTCTTTTCTAAACTCTTTCATAGTTAACATTTTTGTGTAACTATAGGTACATATTGCAAATATTTATGTTTCTTACATTGATCTCCGGCTGAGGGATTGGCAATCTTTGATATTGTAGACACATCTGGAATTTATGGGCATGTTATGGGCACTGTCACAAAATGGCTGCTGTGGAGGGTTTATTCATTCACAAAATGGCTGCCTAGGTGATTATGGTTAGTCACAACACACTAATTTATCACAAGAGAAATGGATGAAATTACTACTTAAGATTTATATTACCACACTGCTTACATTTTCTCTAAATAATCTCTGTTTCTCTTTCTCTGGATGAATGCTGGAATTTTATGTAATGTATATGGCTTTATGCCATATAGAGGCAGAAAATTTCATCAATTTACTTCCAAGTAAGGTTTTACACTATCATTGTTCTCATGCTCATGAACTTTGATCGGAAGCTAATGGAATCCCCTGGAAGTATAAATATTATCCTCCTACTTGTTTTATGTTTTCCAATCACTTCCATCTTTTTGCTTTTTGCTTAATAATACTAAGAATCCTCCAACAGAAAGCATTCCCATAGAGATGGGAGGAAAAGGAAATATTGTTCAATCCTTTCATCATTTAAGGTTGGTAACACCTGACCTTTTCAGTTCACTTCCTTTCAGTAGAACAAATCCATTAACTCAATGCATGGGCTGCAGAAAAAGATGCAAACTGCTTCTTCCTTGTCAGCTTGTACCTTTTGAGGTGTACAAATCCACCTCGACAGTTGGATTCCCACGAGAGTCCAGGATCTCCCGAGCACGAATCTCCTCAATGGACATTGTGGAAATGGGATTTCCTGGGGGAGAATAAAAATAGAAAGCCCAAGAAGAGAATGGAAGACAGTGAGTTAGCTTTGAAATTTTCATCTTATGATCTTTCGCATCCCTGTTCCCATCAAAAACCTCCTCAGTTAGAAATAGAATTAGGTGTACAAACAGTGTAAAGAGTGTGAAGGATAAAATGTGGGTAGTTGGTAATGCCATAAAAGTCTTACATTGTGAATACAAGTATGACATATATGTAGCCTTGGCTCTTGCAAGTAGCTGGTGCAATTTTCTAAGGTGCACTTCGGCTGAAGGCGTATTTCACAGTCATGCAGCTGCTGTGCAGATGAGTCAGCCATCCCGAGTAGAACACTCTCACTCCCTACCATCTGATTTTGGAAAGGCTATAGCAGGTCATTTACTTTTCTGGTAATAAGAAGAACCTCTCAGCCAGAAGTCTTTTCTTTAATCCTTCAATTTAAGGACTCCCTGGGAGAAAAATGCTCTCTGTTCTTCCTATTCAGATGTTTCATGGTTTTGTTCCTGGCATTGAACAGAGAGACTGAAGTTGCATCCTTGGGAGCAATGGCATAAATGAATGACTGTGTCTCTTTCCTGGTGGTCCAGGACTCGGGAGGGGCTCCTCCCACTTAGGATAGGCAACCAAGGATATGGCACAGATTTGTACCATTATCTTTAGTTGGAGCAATTTCTTCAAAGAGAAAGACATTTTATATAGTCTTGGAAGTAGTTACATTTTTTTTGCAGGGGGGACTCAGTGGTGGGTTGCTATGCATACACCCGGTACGGGTGTACTGGTGCCTGCTAGGAGCACCAGGTACGATTCCGGTACAGTGTACCGGAGGGCCCACCCGCCCGCTCTCCTTACCTGTATTTGACCCAACTGGGCCACTTGCGCATGCACATGGAGTGTATGCCGCCTGTGTGACGCTCCGCCGAGCAGCTGGAGCGTCGTGGGTGGTGGGTATGCATGCGCGCACTGCACACATGCATGTGGTGAACTCCCAGCCCCTTTGCAGCGTACCGGTTGCAACAGGGTCCGGAACCCACCACTGGACTGCCTGTACCCTTGAGAGAAAAGTAGCAGTGCAAACAGGCATTTCAGTTAATGTGCCCTATTTTTTTCCTGCCCTGGCTTCCAATATTTTCTCTTCATAATATGTGCACACCTGTTCTGTGGGCTGCAGTTTTACAACAATTTGCAGTCTTGTAACAGCAAGACAGAGGCATGAACTTGCCAAATGGATCAGAATGTCTTATAGGGGACAAGGTGCTGCCTCGTCATTCACAGAGCCAGCCCTATTGCTGGCTATGGGAAAAAGAACTGTTTCATGGCAGTTCAATATCAAGAGACAAACAGCTGGGTATCATTCAGCTTGCCTTGCACTTCTTAAATTACAGTCAACTTCTGCCATCATCTGCAATGGAGTAAGATAAATTGTCAAGTTTGAGAGCTTTGGTTTTTGGAATGGAAATGATGCAGGTACCATACTGGCATTGGAAGGGAGGGAGGGAAGGAGGGAGGGAGGGAAAAGAGAAAGAGAGATGTTCAATCTGCTTTTTCCTCAATTCCCTGTTGTGTTTTCTTCAGAGGGCATTTGCCTCTGCTTCTGACCATGATTGGAAAGGTATTCTCAATGTCTATTTTTCTGCTGGGTCCAATAGCATTGACTTCATCTTGCTCCAGCTCCTGAGGCAATTCAAGTTTTCGTTATGGTGCTAATGTAGGATTTATTTATTCTGACATCTTCAAAAGTAGCCTCAAACCTATGAATTATGTTAGTTTTTGTCACTTTGGAGGGCAATCAGATAACTGGTAGTAACAGATGTAAAGGTAGAATGGGGATTGACAATGGGGAAAGCATATGCCATGCTGATATTCTGCTTGACATAAAGATGGATAGTATTGGGTGGATAGTACTTTGACTCAAGGGTAGGAAAAGACCAGAGACCTAGCTGTCTGCCACAAATGGCTGATATCTGCTTCGTCACTGACTATGCAGTTAATGTTTCCAGATATTATTCTGTTAGTAGAATGTGCTTTCTTCTACTTTTATATCATCCCAAAAAGAGAATAGTCAGTTGAAAATGGGGGTGTTGGATTTATTTGAATTCAAGAATCAGAAGGCTTTAAAAATAATTTATTTCCTCCTGCTTTGGTCACATTTCCATTCCCCTCCAATCCTACAACTGCCTTTAGAAAATGATGCTGTAAATTTAGACATGAATTGCTTAGATCA